AATGGGGCGGGCGGCGGCGGAGGGAGCGGAGATGGTGGCCGTGGGACGGTGGGTTTGCCTGCCGGGCTGAGGGAGGGATCGCGGTTGTCTGAGTTCGGTGGCTAAGGCTGACCTCCGTGTTTGTCCAGGGGCCCCTACACAGGCCTTGAAGAGGGAAAATAACAAAGTCCTAGAAAAAGCCGCACTTGGGCGCGGCGGCAGCAGCTCGGTCCGCTCCGCAGGCCTGGCTAGCGACAGGGATGGGTGTGCGCTGGTCAGAAAGCGGCTGGCGGCAGCTCAGGCCCCCCAGGGTAGGACAGGGCGAGTTGACACGCGCAGCTAGCAATTGCAGTCTTCCCCGGGTCCTTCATCACGCCGGAACTGATGTTTATAAAAAATGTGACCTCACAGAAAGAGGTGAGGGAGCTGGATTTGGTTTGGGGGTGATTTTGTGGGTGGTTCAGCAGGAATGCCAGGTGAAGGAGTTCTGCCTGTTGTTAGGCCGCTTGTCCCTGTAGCACTGCTGTGGTTGTGCTCTTAAAACTGTATGACTATGCAGTGAACTGGATTTCCAACTAATCCCTGTAAAAATCCTGCCAGATAAAAAAGATGGGGTTCATGAAGAGGGGAGTATTTTTAAGCTGCATTTTCTCCCAAATTCAGTTCATTGCCACCAACAGACCAACATCTGTTGGAAGTTAACTTCTTTCCATGCAGAAGGACTGACCAGATGATCTCTGGAAGTCTCTTCCAGTTCTGCATTTGAGTGATTGCATAAGTCTGAAGCAACAACCAGCCAAATAGAGCTTGTTGAGTTCTTGAGAATTAAATAAACCAAACTAAGTGAGGTTTTCACTACATTCAAGATTAGCTCCTGAAGACTGGGAATGCAATGGGAGAACAAAGGACACAGGGAAATGCTACTAAGATAAATGGAAGCAAATAGTTTGTCTGAAGGAGCATTGGAAAGGTATTTCCACAATTTTCCAGAAGTTGCTCAAGACTTTCTGTTAGCAAACAGTTGGAAAAGGGTGACTAACAGTGGCAGAGCTGGCATTAGATCACAGAGGAATGTGTAATGGTGTCATGAATGGACAGAAATGGCAAATGGACACCAGAATGAAAGCTCCAAGGACACTAGATAGGCATTATCTTGATAAGATCCTTCATCTTCTCAGCTGATTATTCTTTCAGTGACGCCAGTATTCCTTTACTTACTACACAGGAGTTTCTCCAAGTTTACATTATTTCAGGTTAGTTTTCTCTGATATCCTTTAAATGCTCAAAAGAGAAAGAGTCATATTGAAGTTGATATATCCTTTAAATAATCAAAAGAGAAAGTCATATTGAAGTTGATTTTCTGTGTTAACCATACCCCTAAGGTGCACATTAACCGTTGTGTGAGGAATTCTGACATATGAGGAGAGGCTGAGAGAGCTGAGGTTGTTCACCCTCGAGAAGAGAAGGCTCCAGCAGGATCTTACCAATGCATATAAATATCTGATGGGACGGAGTAAACAAAGAGCCAGACTCTTCTTGCTGGTATGCAGTGACAGGACGGGAGGCAATGGGCACAAACTGAAACACAGGAAATTCCATTTAAACATAAGAAAAACCTTTTTTATTGTGAGGGTGGTCAGCCACTGGAAGAGGTTGTTCAGAGGGTTTCTGGAGTTACCTTGGAGTAACCTGCCAGGGCAAGGCCCTGCTTGTGGGTCATGGGGATAACCGTCTTACCAGGAACCCTCAGCAGCAGTGCTGGAAAGAATGCATCATAGCAGCTGCACCCTACACTCATATGTCAAAAGACCCAGATGACCTTTGTCCGTCCAAGCTTTGGCAGTATACTGCAGGCAAAGCACACTTGTTTTGATGGTGCTGTAGACAGCATTACATCTGGCTGCCTTGTCTGCTCAGCCTGAGTCGCACAGCTGTCCTTTAAAACTGGGAACTCCAGCATTACCACAGAACATGGCTGATACACGTCCCTGGAGCCACAACAAAATACATGATGCAATTTGTCATTATCCCTCTTTGAGCAGATGTAGTATTCAGAAGTAATTACTAAGACGGAAATGGAGAAGGAGAATACACAAGGGCAAACTCAAAGGTGGCTAGAAGATTTCTGAATTTTCTTTGTGTAATTAAGATTTTAATTAAAAAGATGTGGAACAAAGGTATCTGTTCTTTAAAGAGTGGGATCTGCCCACTGAAATGTTTGGTAGAGTCTTGCCCAGCAAAAGGTTTTCTGCAATTCCCCTGGAGTAGGTTTTCATACCATACGACTTAGGCAGACTTTTTTTTTTTAATGGAGGTTTTCTCCTTTATGTACAAATCTGCTTGCCAGTTGTTTGGTTTTTTTAAATGACAAAATAAAGATTAAAAATGGTGATTGGGAGAAAATGATCAGGAAGTAGAATTGTTACCAAAAAAGCCAGTCAAAGAAATTCTCTAAGACTTGATCTTGGAGTTTTGGAAAGCAGGCATTCTTTATTGCAGCGCTGGGTGCATGGGGGATCGCTCCACCTGTCGTGCACACTGTTGCCTACAGCAAGCAAAATTTATATTATTCCAATCATACATATTCATATTATCATTTACATAGTGTCCACCCTTTGGTCACGCGCAGTGTGGGTCATCTCTTTCTCCTAGTTAACTGGCCTTGGCAATTTTTAATTACAAAAACTCGGCAGAACTCAAAGCTTATCATCAATGCCCAAGGCTTCTTGTCTGTTGACGCACATCAGGCCCAAGGCCTCCTGTCTGTTGGCGCCTCCAACACATACCATTGACGAAGCTCAAGGTTTTCTTATCTAATTAGTACATACCAAAATTTTGAAGTTTTCAAGCAAGCAAAAGTTTGTTAGTACAGCGATACAGTAAAATTGTCCTTCTCCTGCTTTTGTTCAAGGCATCAGAATCAATATAACGGAGACTTACAAATCACAGTCTCTTGTGGGTGACTGTTATCCACAAAATCTGGAGCCGCCTGTTGTTTTTCATGCATCTTCTATGATGTATTGAGTCCTCTTTGCAGAGTTTACAGAGGTGTTCATACAGGACAGAGAAGAGGAATGATAAAGGTAATAGCTCAGTAAAGCTTTAGGAAAAGTCCAAATACCTGTTGGTTACCTTCTGCCCATGACACAAATGTGAGAGTTGTTATTTTAAGAGGGTAGTCATTCAAGTCTTTGATTTTTCATATGCTACTCTAAGACTAGCTAATTGCTGATTCTCTTAAAAGAACTCAGAGTCTCTCACATGTTTTTCTGTTTCAAATGAGTCTCTTCATGGTGAATAAACTGTCAATTGCTTCTGTATTGTTGTTAGATGTGTACTGTGATGATGATTTAGAACCCATACCTATTTATGAGCCTTTAAACCTTTTCAGTGCTAGCTAAATCCCGCTTTTTAATGGCTGACTGCTCTCATAAATGCATTTCCCACATGTCTGATATTTATACAACTGGGAAATGATGATCACAAAACTACTGATTAAAATATGTAACACATAAGCTACCCTTGTTGAATAACATTTCTCTCCCAGAAAATTCTGCCACTCAAGCAAAAAAGGGCCAAATTCTCATTTACACCAGAAATAATTGTACCTGGAGTAAATCTAAAACCTCATTGGATATACTACTAATTTACACTAAGGTAGCAGAACTGAGTTTAGACTGGTAATTCATAGGCAATTGTAAACAATCTGACAATTAAATCTTCATTAAATTTACTTTGCCATTGGAATGAAATCTTTATGTTATCTCTTGCGGTTATAGATGGATGTTTCACTTTAGCTATTAAAATAATGCATTATATTAATGCAGAGTAACATATTTGCCTTAATACAAAAAAACCCCACAACAAACCAGCTTTTGTTCCAAAGTACTGTGTACCACACCCAAATTCCTACTAAAGTAGACTAGATTTAAACTCTACTTTGCATTTAATTATATGTTTACATTTAATGGTAAATATTTGACACTTTTCTATTATCCAGTTCTTCTAAGCAAGTTTATAACTGTGTTTGCAAGGTTATTTTATACTGGTTGTGATGTTTAAAGTAGTTCAGGTTGGTTAACATTATCTCCTCCAATAAACTGTTTCAGACTGTTTTTCCTGGGTCAACAACTGAACAGTGCAGTACTGTTATGCACGATTGTGACCTAGCTCTCCAACTGTAAACATGCTCTGCCATCCTCAAATATTACTAATACAGTACAAAAAATGGACTGGGCAGGTACAAGAAGATATGGCTGCTAAGCCTTTGGACTAGCTGATGCCTTGCTGTGCTCTCTTGCGGCTGCTGCAACCCAGAATAAATCACAAGACTTTTGAGGCTGTTGCAGGATTTTATTGATGCAAAGGAGACAGGAAGACTTAGGATGCTATTGTGCTTCTACATCTTCCTGCAAACATAGCTGTGTACAGTCTAGCTGTAGTTAAGAAGTTACAAAATTAATGTCTGAAAATAAATGGATAAATTTGCATCCTAGACTAGAGCTGCAATGCTGCAACCCACAGAATGATGGCAAGTGGCTGTGATAGGAGAATGATCTCCGAGTATTATTTGTAGGTAGTGCTTTAATTCACAAAAGAGGCAGAAAATTATTCTTGCCTATTGTGTAGTAGGAATACATTAATTCTGGAGCTGATGT